TATAACCTTGCAAAGAAAGGTCATGTAGAGCTGGGAGATGTCTCATTTTAATCATAAATTTGCGCGCTACAATCCTGCCTGATTAAGAAAGCTTTTTGTCATTTTTTAGAGTTTCTGAAAATCTGGTTTTTCAGAAGACCGGATCTTCGAAGGGCTAAAGGGAACTCCCATATTCATATTCGGAATCAGCATGATCGATAACCTATAACCCACTAGATTTCGATTAAAAAGCGATTGGACACTTGGGAACGTTCCCTCGTGAGTGTAAGTAACTAGCAATATTTTAATGAAATAAAATGACTACAAGATTTTTTGACTACTACCGAATCTTTCTTAATCTTGTTGAAAATGTAGAACATTCTTAGAGAAAATAGCTGAAATTTTAAGTTATAACTAACTTTGTATGTGTTCTGGATTGTCGATTAAGAGAGGCTTCGCCAGAAAACCGACCATACTGTCCTGAGGTAAATTTTATTTGATCCAACGACAAAAATTGTAATTGTTTAAAAATGTTTGGAAAATGGATTTTATATATGGAAAAAGATATTTTTCTTCTACTTTTCACAAATGAACCTTTTTAGTTTTGTGCTTAAAAACGGCACATGACTCAATGCTAGCTACTCATGTAAAATTTGATAAAAATTCTTTTCTTCTAAACCTTTAAACCTTATATTAAATCCGCTTGGGGTACCTTTCACGAGCTTGTCTGACTTTCTTTAAAGTCTACTTAAGAAAAAAATGGATTTTTTAGTTTTCTATTATTTAGTCCTAGATAGCTAAACATATTATGTCTAAATATATGAACGTATGGAGTAAACAATCCTCTTTCAAATGAGCCATGAATCAATCATAGGGATTTGATAGTTTTTGAGAAAATCGGTTAGTAATATGGTTCAATTCTTGTTTTGTTATAGTCCATTGCCATCTGATGAGCTACTGGTTCAACGACCACCAGTTGTAACGATCATGGGACACGTTGATCATGGAAAAACTAGTAGGTTTTAATGTTTTTTTATCCAAGAACTTTAATTTAGTCATTTATTTCTCCGTTCAGGTTTACTTGATTCATTACGAAACAGCGATATTGTATCGGGAGAATTTGGTGGCATAACCCAACACATTGGAGCATTTGTTGGTAAGTACAGGAGGGATCTTACTATGTTTGACATTTCTGATACAAGTGAGCGAAAAGGTCGAGATAATCATTTTTTGATTTATATTCATATTTTCGATGGTATCTGGAGTAAACATATTGTACTGTATTAATCGGTTTTTTGCTCCTTTGTTTTAGTCCCTGTCTCCAAAACATTGAGTGTCACATTTATCGATACACCTGGTCATTTAGCCTTTGCTGAAATGAGAGCACGTGGTGCTCAAGTAACCGACATTGTTGTTCTAGTTGTAGCTGCTGATGATGGCGTGATGCCTCAAACACTTGAATGTATAGAACATGCTAACAGAGCGAAAGGTAAAAGAAAAACAAATTTTATTTTCGTCAAATATTTATTTAGCGTCTTATTTTAGTACCAATTATTGTTGCTATCAATAAAATTGATAAAGCTGACGCTAACATTGTGAGAGATTTTGATTTTTACTACTGATTTGAAGGCAAAAAGTTTTATTTGTGTTTAGAAACGTACGGAGCAGATGTTGGCCGAATATGGCGTTCAATTAGAATCAATTGGTGGTGACGTAATTGGTGTTCCAATTTCTGCGCTAAAGGTGCGTATAATATTACAAATCACTTGACTAGTAAACATATATTTATTATTTTTAGAGCATTAATATTGATAAATTATTAGAAGCGATACTGACTGTAGCCGAACTTCAAGACTTAAAAGGCGATCCAGGCGGACCTGTTGAAGGTACTATATTGGAATCCAGAAACGACACGACTGGCGAGCAGGATGATGTTAATGAAAACATCGATAACAAGGGGTGAGCAAGTAAGCAGCTCGCACTGATTAGACACACATCTAAATTCTTATGCGATGTTTTTTCTTTTACTTTTAGAAATGTAGCAACTGTTCTTGTTCAACGTGGTTCATTGAAAAAAGGAACGATACTTGTTGCCGGAAAAAGTGTAGTACGGGTATGTCTATGAAGTAATTTGAAGATCGAATACCGCTAGGTATCTTTTTCATATCAAATAGTTTGTTTCGTTTAATATTAGAATGAAAATAAACTATTAAGAATCCTCCCTCAGAAATTATCTTCGAAACTGTAGATTCAATTTGTGCCAAACTTTCCGTAAATGTTAGATTTAATGAGTAATAGGAATGAAAATTTTTTTTTGTTTCCAAGTGTTATGGTTTAGGAGTTTTCTAAAGATCAAGGTCCAGAAAGGTTCCTAAAGTTTTTCCCAAAATCTTTAATATGTTTCAAGCTGGAGAGTTCGAGTTTATTTTATTTTAAACTAGACACTTAACTACATGGACTGACAGGCGCCGATTTTTCAATTAAGCCTTTATTGGTTTTCCAGGAACAACCTCCAAAACCCGAAAAATCCTCAATTTGACAAAAAACTAAGACCTAATTAAAAAAATCGGTATTGGTCAGTCCACGCAGTTTCTTTTGCTCTTTCAAACAAAAAAAATGAGCTCTCTACGACAAACCGCTATAAAAAAAATCTTGGAAAACACTCCAGGTATAACTCGGATGTAGAGAAAACGTTGTATCGAATGCTCAGTTTTAGGACTTGTAGGAAAATACTTGTAACTTTTGATGCAGGGTCACACAAAGTTGTGTAAGGTCTTATTTTGATCAGAAAAGTTTGCTCTACAAATATGTTCGTTCAGAAAAAGGTTTAATTTCATAAGTATCCAGGAATTTAAGAACAGGTTTTCGAGACTCCCAGAAAACTTACACGAAAGCCACGAAAAATCACTTATATGACCGAAAGCGATACAGATTCTGAAAGTAGATACTTCAGGCTATCTTCCCATGTGCTTATCTCAAAATCGATTTTTTGGCCGAAAATCACCATTTCTGAGGAGAGAGGGAGGGACTTAAAGGATAGAATTTCAGCTTGAAAATTCATGAACTGAAAAAACTTGAAGAATATACTCTTAATTTCTTGATAATTGATAATTGAATTATTGTATTTGCTAGGTTCGTGCATTATATAATGAAAAGGGTAATCAAGTAGAGAAAGCATCCTTATCAATACCGGTGGTAGTGTCAGGATGGAAAACATTGCCATGTGCTGGCGATGAAGCTTTTGAAGTTGAAAGTGAAGTAAGTGAGCTTGCAGAAAATTTTCGATGAAAAATGTTCTGTTCATTTTTTTTCCTTTAGAATTTTGCTAATCGACTTGTAGCAGTAAAAAAAAACGAGGAATTAGCAAAGAAAATGGAACAAGACTCTGTAGCTGTTTCACAAAAACATGACGAGCATCTGAAGAAATATAGGTAAATATAGTTTGTTTTTCTTAACCAAGGTTCTCGTTTGGTTTTTCCTAGCTATCATGTCACAATCGTTGAGAGTTGTCTTACAGTTCTGTTTCTTGACCTATGTTTAGAGAAGATTTGGAGCGTCGTCGTGCAACGGGTACAATATTTCGAAAACGAGCACGTGGATCTGGTCAACAAATTGAAGACAAAGAAAAAAAATTAAGATACACAATTCTACTAAAATGTAAATCCACGACAGTCATTTAACAAACTTATTAATGCTGTTTTTCCTCTTTGGTTTAGCTGATGTGTATGGCACTCTAGAAGCTCTAATGAATATAATTAATAAATATCGTGATATGAGATGTCCGTTAGATATTGTTAATACAGGAGTAGGACCCATTAATGATGAAGATCTGGAAGAAGCGAGCTTGTTCGGAGGTATGGAAATAAAAACGGACGTAATCTATCAAAATTTTTACTGGTTTCTCTGAGACAGTTGGATCACGTATATTTTGATTCATCATGTTAAACTTAGGGGTATTACTAAAATACGCTACACCCACTAACATCCACCAACACCCCCAAATTAAAGTCCGAGATAGACCTGTTCTTTGTGAATTAGGTAACATCAAACTAATACCGAAAAAATTTATTCAAAGATAATTCTTTAGGACGTTTTCGTTAGGAACACCCACTAACATCCACTAATACACACTAACATCGACTAACACCTACTAACACCCAAACAAAGTGGCGCAAACACCCAAAATAATATGCCAGAGTAATTGCCATCCTTTTGTGAGCCTATTAGACCACTTTTGAATCCAAAGGAAATCTCACGAAAAACAGCTTTCACTGTGTGTATAGTAGATTTAGACTTTCTAAAGCATCTAAATTTATTACACAAAGCTTTTTTCTGAACGAAAAAGTCGACTATATACAGAGAAAGCTGTTTTTCGTGAGGGTGAGGGTGAGATTTCCTTTGGATTCAAAAGTGATCTAATAGGCTCACAAAAGGATGGCGATTACTCTGGCATATTATTTTGGGTGTTTGCGCCACTTTGTTTGGGCGTTAGTGGGTGTTAGTCGATGTAAGTGGGGTATTAGTGGATGTTAGTGGGTGTTCCTAACGAAAACGTCCTAAAGAATTATCTTTGAATAAATTTTTTCGGTATTAGTTTGATGTTACCTAATTCACAAAGAACAGGTCTATCTCGGACTTTAATTTGGGGGTGTTGGTGGATGTTAGTGGGTGTTAGCGTATTTTAGTAATACCCTAAACTTAGTCGGAGATCTCGTTCGTTTGATGATTTAAGTACAAGTTAAAGTAGTTTACAAGAGGTATATTTTATTTTTTATTTTTTTTCAGCCACTATCTACGCATTTAACACTGAAGTGTCACACGTAATGGAAATGAACGCTCAGAAAATGAAAATACCTCTAAAAAAATTTAATGTTATTTATCATATGTTAAACGATATTAAAGATGAATTAACAAAACGAATTCCGGTAGTCGACGTCGATGATGTTTCGGGTAAAAAACGATAATGGATCTATGTATCTCGTTTTATCTACTGTTTTTTATCTTCTAGGTACAGCAGATGTATTAGCCATATTTGATATAACGGAAAAAAATAAAAAAATTCCAGTAGCCGGTTGTCGTGTAACAGATGGAAATTTAGAGAAAAAATTATTATTCAAATTAGTTAGAAATGGCGAAGTTATACACAGAGGTAAGTGTAGAAAAACACTTTCATTTCATTCTATGACTTTGTGGTCATAGAAAAACAAATAAAATATGTTTTTTTAAAGTATTTTGGTCGTCTTCGGACGTTACATTATAACGGTGTGTAGACATTTTTTGGCCAGTCATAATCATTCTACCTGTTGAATTTGTTAAACAATCTTGTCTTCTTGTTGTTATAATTTTATTTGTAACGTTTCGATCATGAAGTGATCTTCATCAAACAACGTATACAATTTAAAAACACACTGATTATATATAAAATAAATACTATTCTCAATGATTCTTTATCTTTCCCGTCCTTTCTTGTATATGATAGTGGGACAAACAAGACGGTGATACTGGATGAGATAATTCGGGAACATCTCTGTTTTGTTCCACTATCAACAATGAAGATTACATCGTGATCGAAACGTTACAAATAAAATTAAAACATGAAGCATAAATTGTTTAACAAATCAATTCCTAATGACCTTCCTTAAAAGAAATCAAATCATTCTATCTGATCTTACTGTTTTGCTGACTTTATTTAGATACCATATCAACCTTGAAACATTTTAAAACTGATGTTCAATCGATTAAAAAAGGCCAAGAATGTGGTTTATCATTTACAAATCATGAAATCAAATTCCAGAAGGGAGATCAGATTGTTTGTTATACAATCAGGCAAGTTGCTCAGGAAGCTAAATGGGACTTTGGATTTTAATAATAAAATTACCTTTTTGTCATTTCTTGTTTCTGTTTGTTTGGTTTGTTTTGTTTTGTAATAAAATAGTTCAATTCTATATGTTTGGTACTTTTATCTAACAGTGATGATGAACGAAAGATATAACGAAGACGAACAAAAAGACTAATAGAGAAAAGGTGATTTCCAGTATAAACGATTTTCTTTACTCCCTTTTATAAAAAGAAACGTATTTCTCAATCGTTTTTCGAAAAATTAAGACTTCTCGAAAGACTCACAATTTATCCATTTGTATTTCAATACATACAATCATAAATCCAAATACCCCCTTTAAAGCTTACCATCAAATCTTCCATTGTTAGAACTAGCAATTTCAAAATTCAAAATCTTTCTTTTTATCACATATGGACATAACTATTTTCAATAAAAAATATACGGGAAAATGGAAAGTGCTCAGATCCTAGCTGATGTCGGTAGAAGAGTGAATTCCTACGACAAAAGCAGCGGGACGGACGGACAGTTGTATACGATGTTCAGAGGTGATATTTTTGACCTAGGCCATCCTGAGGTAAATTTTATTTTATTTTTATTCATACACCTACCAAAAATCGGCAAAACGGAAAGTCAAGAATCTGACTCTTGTATGTTGTAGCGGTAAGTGTTTGCTTCATTTTGAGATCATCCCATAGTCTCCATCATCTATCTAAGCGGAGAACTTTGAGAAATACTAACAGTCCCATTTCGCTCCTTAAAGAAAAATTCCATCATCACAATTTGACATGGTCAACATTCCGTGAACGTTTCTAAACCGAAGAGAATTTTTTGAGCTGAGTTTTTATGTCAGTTAGAGTCATATCGAATCTCGATCGATAGATAAACGTTCGTCAAAGTGTCTTTTTTAAATCAAATTTTCTGTGCGCATAGAGATAGACATGACTAGTTTTTTGCTACCAGTTTCAAAAAATTCATTTTCTCAGCAAGGAAGCAAAATTTTCCAAAAAGGGTATCATACTTTTTTCCTATACAGTATTTTACCTATTCTTCATGTGCGGATACAATTGTGAGCAGAAATTCAGATCGATACGAATGTGATGTGTAAAGCTCTCGTGATGAAGACGGAGACCGCATATGTCAAATTTATATGAATAATGAGAAGTGATCAAGATCGCAGAAGTCGTAGGTGACACTTCGGAAGGTAGTTTTTGGATATTTGCTTTAGTTATCCATAATTCGTGTCACAAAATGAGTATATTTTTGAGACAACTCTATCGTTTTTCCTGTCAGATAATTAATAACAGATTAAAGTCACGTGATTCACTTTATCATGAATATATGCCTACAGTGCTTGCTATGATAAAAGCTATACTATAGTAGAATATATAACACGATAATGAGTCAGGTGATATAGCAATGTACATTCTTCTTGGAAAAAAGTCAAACTGTTATTCATTATAATCAACTTTCTAACCATCTTAATTCAAACAATTTTTTCTCAAATAACCAGTTTGGCTTTAGGCCCAAGACCTCAACCGTTGATGCACTTCTTTACCTATTAAATAACTTGACAAAGAACCTA